ATGCAAAAATAAAAAATGATTGCAACAGTATGATTTATATTCAAAGAGTGTAGGATTTTAGCAAGAACAGTTGAATTAGGGTGACCTAATCATTTATGCCATAACATTCCACTACTTTTTGCAACTGAAAAAGATTGAAAAATGCTTATTTTATTATCAGTAGTAGCATTGGTACAAACGGATACAAATGCAGGAGAATTAGAAGTAACACTAATGTCACTTAAACCCTTACTTTCATAAACAGCAGGAAATCGAGAAGACAGAGATTGTGTGAACTGAGACTTATTAAAAAAAGTTCTAGTTGAGGAGTTGAAAGCTGAAATAGTGGAAGTTGAATGCTCAACAGGCAAGTTTGAGTTTTAGGTAGAAAGAGTGACTGGAATTTGAAGTTGATAAAGACTAGCCTTAAGTCTTCCTTGAAAAAGAACATATTTGGATTGTTTGTCCTTAATCACACAATGGTTAGCAAAGGACTCAACAATTACACTATTGTCTCTAGTAAACTTAGAAATGCTTAACAAATTTTTAGTAATGTAAGGTACACTTAAACATGCTTAAGGTAAAGTGATCTAGAATCACAAGGTAATGAAGTGAAATCGGTATGAGATATAAGGAAGTAACTCACCATTTCCAACCTAAAGTTGCTCATTGCCAGTGGAGTTGGAATTTACTGTAAGTTGAGATAAGTCTAATGTCACAAGGTCTGTAGCTCTAGAGTCCATGTACTAAGATGCATCCTGCACTATGGGTGGTGTAGTAATGTAGTTGGTAGTAAGATTGGAGCAATGTTGTGACTGCATTTGGGACAGGAACACTTGATTGTGAGCATAAGGCACATATGAGTGAGATCTAGTGTTTATATGAGACTGTCCTGAAGTTGGATTAGATCTTGTTGAAAAACTAGTTGGAGTAGGATTTTGTGCTCCTGAGTTAGAGTAGAGTGGTGATGGAAAACCACCTTGAGTAGGCATTTGAGTGCTTAAATTGGGGTTATAAGGAAACTATGTTGAGGTCTGAGCAAAGTATTGTGATCCTTGAAGGGTTNTATATACATTCACATATATATACAAAACATAATGCCTCGAAACTAATGACACGATTGGTTCCTAGGGCATACACTAACAGTTTGTTGAGTGTAAGACAAATGTTAGAGAAGAATGAGGTGTTGAGTGTCGGACAAATGTTAGAGAAGAATGATGTCTTACATTTCAAAACAAATCATGTATCATCATAGATAATGATGGTAGTGAGCTTATCAAAGTAAAAATGATGGGAAAAAGTTTCCCTGTTGAGTGGAAAAAACTAGATTTTCAGGCCCATACCGCTAGCATAGATGAATCTGAACTATGACACAAGAGATTTGGCCATTTTCACTACAATATGGCCTTAGAGAAATGAAGTATAAAAATCTGGTTCAAAATGTACCAGAGATAGAAGAAATGAGGAGTTTGCGTCATGCTTGCCAACTTGGTAAGTTGAGCAGGCAACCATTTCCTCAAAATCAAGCATGGACGGCTATTGAGAAGCTGCAATTGACACACAGTGATGTTTGTGGACCAATGCAGACTCCTTCCTTGAATAGCAAGTATTTTGTGCTGTTTATAGATGACTTCACTAGGATGAGTTAGGTCTATTTTTTAAAACAAAAGAGTGAAGTTGCTGCCATGTTCAAAAAGTTCAAGTTGTTGGTAGAAAACCAAACCTATTTGAGCTTTAAATCAGTTAGAAGCGATAATGGGACAAAGTATACTTCAAACCAATTTGAAGAGATGTGTAGGGGAGCTGGAATAAGGCACCAATTCAGTAGTCCATATACTCCACTACAAAATGGAGTTAGTGAAAGGAAAAATAGGAATGTTATGGAGATAGCTAGGTGCATGATGTTTGAAAAGAAGCCGCCAAAATCATTTTGGGCAGAGGTTGTGAATACTGCAGTCTGCTTCTCAATAGACTTCCAACCAGGGCACTTAACAATTTAACTCCATTTAAGGCTTGGCATGGAGTTAAGCCTTCAGTAAAAAATCTCAAAATTTTCGGGAGTGTGTGTTATGCTCATATTCCAGCAAGTAAAAGAAGTAAGTTGGATGAGAAAGCTGAAGCAGGAATCTTGATTAGATACAACAGCACCTCCAAAGCCTTCAGAGTCTTCAATCCAAAAACTAAGAAGATTCTAATCAATATAGATGTTAGAATGGATGAGCTGTCTTTTTGGAATTGGGAAAAGAAAGAATTTGAAGATGAAGGAAGGCTGTTGCAAAAAGAAGTTTCAAGTAGTCAAGATGATTTCGAAAATGACTCAAATGCAAATCAAGAAACCTCAGTAAGAGGTACTAGGCTGTTGTCAGATGTTTATGAGAGGTGTAATGTTGTAGTGGTGGAGCCAACCTATGTTGAAGCTGCAAAGTCAAGGGATTGGATAGAAGCTATGAGGAAGGAAATGAACAATATCCAAAGAAACCAAACTTGGAGATTGGTTGACAGACCAAAAAATAGAAAAACAATTTAGGTGAAATGGATTTTTAAAACCAAGCTGAACTTAGATGGATCAATTAACAAACATAAAGCAAAGCTTGTGGCTAAGGGGTATGTGCAACAATATGGAGTAGATTTTTCAGATACTTTTTCTCCTGTTGCAAGACATGACACCATTAGACTCTTGTTAGCTTTGATAGCTCAATTCAAGTGGAAAATTTTCTAAATTGATGTTAAATCAGCCTTCTTAAATGGCTGGTTAGATGAGGAAATTTATGTTGAACAGCCTGAAGGGTTTGTGTTGGAGCAACAAGAAGACAAAGTGTATCTGATGCATAAAGCCTTGTATGGCTTGAAGCAGGCACCTAGAGCCTAGTACAGCAGGATAAATGAGTATCTTTATAGCCTAGGCTACATAAGGAGTCCAAATGAGCATACACTTTATGTAAAGAAGATTGAAGATGAGCTGATTGTTGTCTCTTTATATGTTGATGACTTACTGATTATTGGAAGCAATGCAGAACATGTGAATCAGTTTAAACAAGCCATGCAAAGTGAATTTGAGATGATTGATCTGGGGGAAATGACATACTTTCTTGGCATGGAGATAAACCAATCGGCAAATGAGATTTTTTTGTGTCAAAGGAAGTATGCGAATGAGATTTTGAAGAAGTTTAACATGGAGAATTGCAATCCAATAAGCACACCTTTGGTGCAAAACCAAAAGTTGTGTAGAGAAGATGGTGCAAGCAAGGTTGATGAGTCCATGTATAGAAGCCTAGTAGGTTGCTTATTGTATTTGACGGCAACTAGGCCTGATCTAATGTATGCCTCTAACCTTCTATCTAGGTTCATGAATGAACCAAGTGAGATTCATTTTAGAGCAGCAAAAAGGGTGTTGAGGTGGGAAGTGCAAACTTGGGAATATGGTTTAGAAAATCAGAGAAGTTCAATCTTGTTGGCTTTACAGACAGTGATTGGGTTGGCTCTCTTGATGACATGAGAAACACTTCTGGTTATGTGTTTTCTTTAAACTCGGGAGCATTTTGTTGGCTCTCCAAGAAGCAAGAGACTGTAGAACAATCATCTGCAGATGCAGAATATATTTTTGCTGCTACTGCAGTGAATTAGGCCATTTGGCTAAGAAAACTTTTGAAGGATTTGAAGCTGGACCAATGTGAGCCTACTGAAATTTATTGTGATAATCAGTCCACTATTGCTATGGCAAAGAATCATATCTTACATGGTCGAACTAAGCACATAAAAATCAAGTTTCATGCTGTGAGGGAAGCTGAGCAAGCTAAAGAACTTAAACTGGTGCATTGTAGAAGTGAGGAACAATTGGCTAACATAATGACAAAAGCATTGAACAAGTCCAAGTTTGAAGAACTGAGGTTCAGACTTGGTGTTTTTAGCAAAAATATCAATGAGTGTTGAAGCTGATGATACTTTGCCAAAAAACAAAGTCAGCTCAAGTTTGTTGAATCATATCTTACATGGTCGAACTAAGCACATAAAAATCAAGTTTCATGTTGTGAGGGAAGCTAAGCAAGCTAAAGAACTTAAACTGGTGCATTGTTGAAGTGAGGAACAATTGGCTAATATAATGACAAAAGCATTGAACAAGTCCAAGTTTAAAGAACTAAGGTACACACTTGGTGTTTCTAGCAAAAGTATCAAGGAGTGTTGAAGCTGATCATATTTTGCCAAAAACAAAGTCAGCTCAAGTTTGTTGACCGAAGATGCAGAGAAGCCGAAGACAAGAAGCACAGCAGCTAGCCTTGGGAGCAATTGAATGGAGCTGATTTTGATGCCTAAACTGATGTTTTTCGATGTATTCAATAGGGTATTCAGCTGTAATTAAGGGGTCGTTAAATGCAAGGATTGTGTGTGGTTGAAATTGTGTGGTGGTGAATTATTGTTAGTAAAATATTCACTCCAAGTTTAGGTGAGCAGTGTCTTAACTTTTTTGTAAAAGTTGAACCCATTTTCAATGAAAAATTAGCATTAACATTCAGCAAAAACTTCTCTCTAAAAAGCAACTGTTTCATCTGCTTCCTTTGTATTCTCTAGCTCAAAAACTACAGACAGGCATCCAAGTTTCCAGTTTTAATAAAATATTTTTTGTCTAAAATCATCATCCTCAAGTGCCGTTTCATAGTTCAGTTGGAAATTATGCGCCAATGCCGCCATGGCAAGATACGTTATCTGACATGCAGCTTATATGTTTTCTTGTCACTTTGTCAGATAGCATCGTATTTCCTCGAACTTTCTATAAGGATTTTCATAGGACGACATGCCATCTATGCTTCTCTACTGAGTCCAGAACAGATGACACGAGGAAGTTTATTTGCAGGAAATCATTTTCAATTCCCAATTGGGATATTCCCCAGATACTAACATGGATATATGGTTCAGAAAAAAGCATTAGCCTCATATATCTTTCCAACATTCAGATCAAGCATTTAAATTTGATTATAAAAGCAAAATGTATCTAGATATAGAATGATTATGATCACATTATTGTATTACAAAAGTAAAACTTTAATCTTATATATTACAGTACCCTGTAATGTTACTGAGACTCCAAAAGCAAAGCAAAAACAAAGCAAAACCAATTCTCTCACTCCCAAGCACTGTCCAACTTATACATATACAAGTATATCTATAGGAAAAGGAAACAAAGCTTGTGTTTCATGAAAGCCCTTATTCATCATAACACTCTGATATATTTCGTACAGCAAGCAGCACCACTGATCCTCTATGCAACTCCCAGGAGTTCCTTTATATCATTCTGCAAAGGAAAACAAACATACAAAAAGATACCGAATAAGTAAGAACTAACCAAAGATAAAATCGATCATAAACTGGAAATGTGGTGGGGACTGCCGAAGTGGGTGTTACCTCAAAGCTAGAAGGGTTAGTAGTTGGGTCATAATGATTAACAACATTCCCATCTTTGTCAACCAAGAACTTGGAAAAATTCCATTTGATATTGTCTTCACCTTTGCTCGACTTCAGGAACTTGTATATAGGAGCAGCACTCTCACCATTCACATCCACCTGTGTATCAAAATAGACAAAGCTCAAACTAGTTAGGAAAAGCTACCATGGAGTCATAGTACACTTTTGACCACCTCGGGGCTGAAAGATGAAACAGGTGCATTTTCATCTATAATTTTGTTAAATTACTGAACAAGTACCTTGTCAAATATGGGATACTCAGCCTTAAAGCGAGTGCAAGCAAATTCCACGATCTCTTCATTGCTTCCAGGTTCCTGAGCTCCAAACTGGTTACAGGGAAATGCAAGAATTTCCAGGCCTGCACAAAGACAGTGATAAGGGAAAAACTGAAGAGAAGGATTGAATTATTAAAGCAAAGTGACCTAGGTATATATTGAAGTATTTTCCCCCTGCATTTTGCAGAGGAAAGTATAGAAAGTCTGAGATATACAAGTTTTATTCATGTGATCTTGTCTATAACCTTCAAGAAACCATAAAGTTAGAAAGGGTACAAAAGCACACCTTGATCTCTGTATTTCTGGTAAAACTGACTCAGCTCTGTATAGTTGGAATTGGTCAAGCCACTGCATTAAAAAGTTGAAGTTATAAATTTAACATACAAGGAAGAGGCATGTTGAAAGGGAATGCACTAGAAGCATTTAGACATTAACTCCAAATAAAGCTTTTCAGGAGAATTTTTGATATATAAAACAACAAAATATTCATAAAATTGAGAGTGAGACATTATAAGTTTGATGTAAATTCAATGTATACAGGAGTTAAAAGCATACCACTGTGATGCAACATTGACAATCAAGAGGACCTTTCCTTTATAAATGCTAAGATCAACAACATTTCCCCTTGCATCCTGCAAAAATATAAAACAACAGAATTTATTATTAATTTCGCTATCAAATAAGAAAATAATCTTACTTGCAAAACTATCATTATCTAACATAGCTTATGCTAGGATCATCAACTACTATAGCTCTCAATGGACTCAGCCCACCAGAAATAACGGCGAACCTCATTATAAAAAGTATTGCATTATATAAGCTTCATTTGAGGCCTTGAGTATGCCAATTATTTTCCAGGGATTTACTAGTGAAACAGCGAAACTTCTCGGACTTGGTTAAAGAACAATCCCATTCCCATATATTTTGGATTCAGTTTGCTTGTGAAACAATGGAATTAAGCAGTTAGTTTCAAGAAGAAGAAAAAGAAAAAAAGACCGACAAACTGACCTTAACAGTGAAGTCATGAACTGATTTCTTGGATTCGCTGGCCATTCTATGATTAGATTTCAAAGTGTTGATGGAGAAATCAAAATGGTTTTCTTATAATTTGAAGAGAAATAGTTTGTTAAAAGAAGAGAAGTAGATACAGTTGCTGCGTTAAGATTTCTTTCCAGGAGAATGCGAGTTGAAGAAGAGAGCAAAGAGGATTTTATAGCTTTCATAGTGTATGAAATTTTGAGTGTTGGCTAGTGTGGACATAAATTCTGACGATTGGTCCTGCAGGTTGTTGGTTGGCATGTCTACACGTGGATAATATTTGGATCAGAGATTACGTCACTGTCTTTTAAACAGTTAAAATTCTAGAAGTCTTGTGTGGTGAAGGCGACAGTAAAGATTTTGAGGATTTTAGGCTCCAACTGGACGGCCGGCCTTTTATTTGATATCTAGAAAGTTTTGCGGCTTCTTTCCTAACCTTTTGTCAGTGCTCTGCAGTTTTATTAGTTTCTAGAAAATTCTAGTTCACGATGTATCTGTCTTTGCTGTTCAGTTTAATCCTAATATTCGATGTCTCAAATTTTTATAAAAGCTTGCATGGAGTTTCAAAAGACAAAAGTTGATTTCACCTCTAATAATAATAATTAGAGTCATTTTTCGATACATAATAGTTGTTATATCACTTGGTATTCAATAGAATTTAAATATAGAATAATGTTACGTACACCAATAATTTATACCGATATATATGACATTCAGTTAAATACGATCACGTCAGAGACAATATATGTCTTCTGTGAATAAACAATCGTCCAACAATTATAGATGTTCGTCCATATTTGATTGACACCCGTCCATATAATATAGACGCGAATACGTTAGCAACAACATACGTCTTTCGTGAATGAATAACCGTTCACCTCGAATGGATGCCTATCTATAAATTTTTAAAAGTATAATAATGAACGTGAGTCCATATGATATGGATTAGCCTCCATTTAAAATAGACGACTGTTGGCAATTAATTTTTATTTGCCTCGTGCAGATACCAGGGGTCCATTTTCAATAATAATAATAATAATTGGTTTATCAAATACTCTTTATATTTTTGTAGCTAGAAATAGCATTTATAGTTGTTGCTGATGGATGTAGGTGGAATTAATATTTAAACACTTTTACTAATTAATAATTAAGGTCAAAGATAGTGATAAATATGGGTTGTGATGTGAACATATATGGAAGTCTTCTTTTAATCATGAATAAATAGTCCAGTTCTAAACTTAGTTTAGGAATAATTAATTAAGTTGGAAGTTGAAGAAATCAACAATTATAGTTCAGTTCTAATACGGACGGCTCATATAATATAGATGGACGTCCATTCTTGTACTTTTATAATTTTATAATTTAAATTATGGACGAACGTCCATTCTAGATGAACGTCCATTCATAAGAAATTGACTCTCGTCCATAGCTATTGTTATTTTGATATGATAATTCATCTAAATTAGTAGACGATCGTCAATTTGTAATGAACTGTCGTCCATCATATAAGTTGACGAGCGTCCATTGTTTTGTTTTCAAAATTTTCTGGACAAGCACCCATCCATATAATATGGATAAGAGTCCATTGATATTTTTGTGGACGCTCGTCTATTCGTGATGAATGATCGTCAATCAAATATGGACGGGTGTCCATAATTGTTAGACGGCTTTTCATTCACGAAAAACGTGTTTTGTCTCCAACGTAGCCGCATCTCATTGAATGTCATGTCTTTCGGTATAAAAATTCGGTGTCAGTAACATTATTCTTTAAACATAAAACAAGAATTATATTTTTTTAACCGGGGTGTTCGAGTCCGCTTACGGACAACTTAATTAATTCCCATAGTCCAAATGTGGTAAGTGGTCAGAGTTAGTTGAAAACACTTTATACAAACTCAATGGGTCATATAAGTTACAAATATAATAGATGACTACTTTTGTGAGATTCGAATACAAGATCTTTGGGTGACCCCACCCACCCACCCAGATTGCTAAAGACTTGCTAACCGGGCTTTGACCACAAGGTTACTTAGTACAAACATTTTTGGTGAAAATGAGGTAGAACACTTTTCAAGATAAATTTTTGTCTCAATAATTTAAAATCATCAAACATAAAAAAAAAAAACTTTGGATCAGATATTAAATATATGAAAATACAATTCAAAATTTTGAAATATATATTAATTTTAACAATTATTTTCGGATCACAAAATACATATGAATCTTGTGCCGTTACATGTGTTGATAATTCTAGATGTCAATTTTAGTACTGATAGCTCTAAATTAGCAATCCTGAGGCAGTGCCATCATGGGAAGATGAAGATGGCTTCTGTTTTCTATATAAAATCTATAACAACGAACTAGCTGTATCAATATGATCTCGAACAACCGATTACCTTAACGTAAAGCAGTTGTATATCTATACGTATTCTGGCGAGTATCAGACCTGAATAATTTAGCCCCAAGATATCTGAGTCTCTAAATTATACTTGAAGAAGTCATAAGATACAGGAGTTTCTATAGATGATCGTTGTAAAAGTATGCTCTTCCATTTAATAATGCTGTAAATCTTTTGTACATCTCAAAACTCGTATATATTCCAACATGGATACCGTTTGAACCTAAAGGTATAGTTTCTCTCTTTGTAGTTCGTAATTATCTGATCTTTATAAAATTAACAACTGTTCTGAACCACCAGGTTTTCTTGGAATACTGCTTTGGGGACTGTATTAAAATAGACTTCTGGGACCATTTGGGACCTTTTTGTGCTTTAAGTACTCAAGTACTGGATTAAAAAAGATAACATATGAGCTTTAGTGCGAAAATTTATATCAATGCCCGATGGATCTGAAAGAGAAATAGCATTGCCATTGGCCTCGTTGGTCATTCAAAGTTCAAACATTCAGATCAAGCATCTCGCATTTCAAATTAGTAAAACTATAGGACTTCATTAAAACAAACGTATTTATGATTACATTATTACTTGATCAAACTTTAATACATCATAGATGTCTATAGAAAAAAGAAAACAAAGTTCATGAATACATTTCCATGAAAGTGCTTATTCATCATATCCTACTCATTTATTCGCAGTAAGTTGATACACTTTGAAGCAGCACCTTATGCAACTGCCAGCAGCTTCTTTACATCCTTCTGCAAAGAGTAACAAGAATTATGTGAGTTAATAAGATCTAACCGAGGCTAGAGTTATCATTAAATTTGAAAATATGGCAGCGATGGCAAAAGCAGGTATACCTCAATGCTGAGAGGGGAAGTAGTCGGGGCATAACGTTCAACAACTTTCCCTTCTTTATCAACCAAGAACTTGGAGAAGTTCCACTTAATACTGTCTCCAAAGAGTCCACCTTTGTTCGATTTCAGGAACTTGTAGATAGGTGCAGCATTGTCACCATTCACATCAACCTGTTTCATAAGAGAGAAACGAATTCTATAAACGTAAGTCTCTACTTCTGATCCAAAAAAACAAAAAACATTAAAATGTCCCTTTCTTTTCCTCTGGTAACCAGCCTAAATTATACAATCTGGGAGGCAAAAGATTTGAATTCTAGATTCATCTCATCTTCTCACCCTCTTTCTGAAGCAAACCATACAAGCAAATAATGGTTTAATTTATCAGGGAATGATCAAAATGATTTTGCAACTAATTCAAAAATGAAGGTACTTGAATTTTTATCAATTGTGGAAGACCTAGAGACAGCATAAACAATTCAGAAACGGAAAGAAAGAGAGTAAGTCCAACAATTATCTCCATTAGAGCTGCATGATTCATCCACTATAAAATCAGATGTTGTTTTAAACCTCAAACTAGCCACCTAAAGCTATGGAGCCATGTAGTATACCTTGACAACCTAAGAGCTAGAAAATAAAAAATAAAAGAGCATTTTCAACTATAATTTTCTTAGATTACAGAACAAGTACCTTATCAAATATGGGATACTCAGCCTTAAAGCGAGTGCAAGCAAATTCTAAGATCTGTTCATTGTTCCCTGGCTCCTGCGCTCCAAACTGATTACAGGGAAATGCTAGAATCTCCAAGCCTGCAAGAAGATAGAATATTCAACTCTAAGCAAACTGACACCTCTTGGCTATATTAGAGTATAATCATTGACTTTACCCAAAAAAAAAAAAAAAAAAAATTTCAAGAAATTTAAGGCATACAATTCCTATTCATGTCTATAAGCGTCAACATATCATGAAGTCAGAAAAAGGAAGGAAAGCACACCTTGATCTTTGTATTTCTGATACAACTGGCTCAGTTCTGTGTAGTTGGAATTGGTCAAGCCACTGCATACAAAATCGAATCAATAAATTACATATTTTTGAAAGAGGCATGGAAAGGAGCCACCATTGAGCTTCAAAAGTAAATAGTCAGGTTGAAGTTCTGCTTCAAATTACAAATATTTGATGCAAAATGAAAATCAATAAAGATGTTCTCATACCATTGGGATGCAACATTGACAATCAAGAGGACCTTTCCCTTGTAAGTGCTAAGATCCACATCATTTCCCCTAGCATCCTGCAAGAAAATATAAAATCACAAAATATATATCAAACACCCAATTAAACCGGAAAAGAAATTAAAAAAGAAATCTCCCTATCAGCAAAACATCCTTAATTTCGCATTGACGAGGCTCAGATTATTATCTTAATGTAAAGCATTGATAGAAAGGTAATAACAGACCTCATTATAAATACTGTACCAAGCTTTGGGTTGAGGCACTTGCTGGTCAATTAATTTTCAAGTGCTTTGCCAGTTAAACAAGAGAACAGAAGTCTCTCTTATTACTGGGCCCTTCTATATATATATATATTTTATGTTTAATTAAAAATGTCAAGAATCTAACACTGATTCATTCAATCATTGACATGAAAATAAAAAAATTTAATTTCAGGATTTGGTCAAAAGCAAATCCCCCAAATCTCCGAGTATCGTCTGACTATAGCACCATTTATTTAAGGATTATTGTTTTAATTACGTCAAAAGCAAAACAATCACCATACGAAAATTCAGAAACCCATAAACAAAAAACATAAATGAATAGCAATACCAAGAAAGAGTCTTTTATGGTAACCAAACCCATAAAAATTAACGAAAAGACACCCGAGAAACTGACCTTGACAGTGAAGTCATGAACTGATGTTCTGGATTGGCTTGCCATTGTATGATCCGATCTCAAAGTGAACAACACAGGTTTAGAAACCGCTCTTTGGTTCGACGGAAAAACGAAAGAAAGAGGCTTACTTTGCCGACAAATCAAAAGGGCTTTCTCAGAAACTGAAGTTAAATGTTTTGCTAAAAGAAGAGAAGTAGCTATCGATTGAATTTTAAGATTTCGTTTGACGAGAACACGAGTTGAAGAGCAGAACATCGAGGATTTTATAGCGTCCGTTGAGTCGAATTTTTGTGTTAGATTGTGTGTGAACGTAGATTGTAAAAAATGTGACTTAAACGTGGAGACTTAGAATAGTGACACGTGGAGACAAGTTGATTACGCGTCAGCCATGGAAGGTTCTGATTTTGCATCAGAGAATACGTAATAACGAACCGTTGTAAACGAAAAAACTCCGCGCAGTTCCCTTTTCTTTCTTTTTTTTCTCATTGTGGGCTGATTTTAAAACCTTTTTTTCCAAAAGTGTCAAATCTTAGGTGGGAAAAAGCCGTTTACTCTTAAACAAATTCAAAGTCTCGTGTTCACATTTGGTTTTGTACTTTCCTTTAATGCAAATGTCACATATTTCATTTTTTTTGTCTTGTCTGTAGATTTTCCAACGTTTTTGATATTATCCATGATAGTAAGGCTTTACATTGCGAGATTCATTCAGTTTAGAAGAAGAAATAAGATGGCTGTTGATTCAAACTTTTTGTATGACGAAGGAAAGGATTTGCTACCGTTCACTCCACTTTCTATTTTGCACAAAATAAAATGGAGATGAAAAATGAACTTGCTTTACTCCTTATAAAGATACTTTTTATGATTCTTGAGCATTATTATTCACTTTTTCTGACCATTATGAATACGGTTGGTTAATTTTGTTGAAATTGGTGAACATTTCAACAACAAAGGGCCACCGCGATAAATATGGGGTTTCGAAAACCATAAACGGTTTTGGTTGATCTCATGAAGAGTCGTTATAGAATTCTCTAAAGAATAAGATTCCTAATAATTTTAGATTTATCTCATTAAATCTAATATATAAAGATATTATTCTCTTATATGAGTAATATAAAAACTCATAATAAATACATTCATTGTAATGAGAGAGGTGAGGAAATATTGAAACAATATTGACTATGTTAAAAGTAACCGATTTAGATGAATCAGGATAAATTACGCATATTTTTTCTTTCCTATTTTCATTTGTTCTGTGTAATTAGTTTTAGTTTGATTTGGACCTCTCTTTAGTTTTTTCAAATTTCACTTGAAAACAATCCTTTAAAATGATACAATTTTAGAAACTAAAAAACTATTTATCGGTTGAATTGATTATCAAACTAAGGAACAAAACATTCTACAGTTAACTCTCTTTCTTGTTCACAAAACCTCATTCATCCTATTGCATTATTTGAGCCTTGATGAAAGAAACCTATTTAAATTCCTCATTCTCTTGCAATATATCAACACCATTTGTGTTTAGAAGAGGAATAACTCAAAAGAAGGTTTGTAAGTGATTCTTGTGCTTTAAGATTAGGTATGTACTGATTATTTTTCTTCTCGAATTTGGTACTGTTCAATCTGTCTTAATTTGTGTCCTGTCTTTCTCTCTTCCATGCTGCTTTCAACATGGTTGTAAAAACAAACTGTTCAATCCTCTGTATTCATTTATTACTGCTTTCACTTGGCAGCCATACAACAATGGACTCCAATTTTGGATACCCTGGTGTTTTTCCCATATGCAGAACTTTTTGCTGATAAAGTTTGGCAAAACGCCAATTTGAATCATGTAAATAACCAATAGATTTTTTTTTATGGATTCGGAGGAGACAATTATGTCTGAACCAGAAACACTTTTTATCAAATGTATATAGAAATTGCATATATCAAAACCAAATAGAATGAAAGATAACTTGGTTATTTTACACAATAACAACGGATTTGTCACAGCATTTGCTATATGATCCACTGCCATATCTGGGTCTAATGATCTGCAATACAATCCGCAAAGTCTTAAATGGACAACAACACTCAATAGTGCCAACCAAACATCAAGAGCGCTGGTTTTATTCATTTCTTCATCCAAAGTGTTCAGGAAATCTCCAACAGCTTCTTGATGTTACCCTGAAATACAGTAACATCAATTGATAAGTGATACAGGCTGTATAACTCAAATAAACTTTCAGAATCTGAATTAGCTGCAAAATTAGACTTTACCTCAATGGTGAGAGGGGAAGTTGTGGGATAATAACGATCAACAACTTTTCCATTCTTATCAACAAGGAACTTGGCAAAATTCCATTGAATGTCATCCTCAAAAATCATCCATCTCCCTGCCTTTAAGAACTTATACACTGGAGAAGCATTCTCACCATTTACCTCAATCTGATACATAAACAGCAATGCAGATAGTTAAAATGGGATACTGGGCATCATGAGTTGATTCATTTTTTGTTTTGAGAGTTTTATTATCAATTTGTTATAAAATTGCAGAACAAGGACAGTCTAGCTTCAACCTTATCGAATATGGGAAATTCGGCCTTAAAGCGAGTGCAAGCAAACTCTAAGATCGCTTCATTATTCCCTGGCTCCTGAGCTCCAAACTGATTGCAGGGAAACGCCAGAATCTCCAAACCTGTGCTAAGAGTGACAAGGAGAAAATATAATACAGCAAAATGATCAGGAAGTAGGATATTGAAAACAGACCTTGATTTTTATATTTCTCATACAGCTGATTCAGCTCTGTGTAGTTTGAATTAGTCAAGCCACTGCATCAGGAAAAAAAAAGAATTTGAAGTAAATTGGATGGTGGAGAAGAGACTTCCAGTATTTGGGAAGTGATTCTTTAATTCTCTGTTTGGTAACCAAGGAGTCTACGGGGAAAACTCTAAAATAGCAAGTAATGAATGAACAAGAAATTAAAATACCACTGAGATGCAACATTAACAATCAGTAGAACCTTTCCGTTGTAAACACTGAGGTCAACATCGTTTCCCTTAGCATCCTGCAAGAGATATGAAAAATACACAAAAATCTCTCAATTTAATAAGCAGATGTATGGGAAATTGACATATACAAATAATCATGCAAATCAATGAAGGGGCTAATAAAAAGAATTTAAAGCTAAAACCTCAGCATCTACCAGTCTTCCCAGGGAAGCACAAATCAGTTCAGAAAAATCACAAATCCATTACTCACCAACAATTCGCTCAATAATAAATTTTGATCCCAGAAGACTCACCTTCACAGTTAAATCATAGAAAGATGCATTATTCCCTTGGCTAGCCATTTTATGATCCTATCAGCACAGGCCTTGAAATCCCCTTTCTCAACAAGATATACTGGTATACAAGTGTGTTTTGATGTTTAATTGGGGTATTAAACTTTTAGATGTAGGGTTTTGTGAAAGCAACATTTTGGAGGTCTGATTGGTGCTTTCCTCATGCCGCTTCAAATTGGGCTCACAGTTTGTCAGCATCTTTAGCCTTTAAATGTCGAGTTAACGAGTTTTTCTCGTGTAATGACACATTTTCGTACTATCACTTTTAAAATACTATTTTACTATCCAAATTTATATTCTGACAACAGAACAAAATCAATCAAAATTATTAAAACTTTTGAAAAAAGAAGACTGATGAGTCTTTTAGTGGTAAAATATTAGATTTTAGTGTTTAAGGTTTATCAAAATTTGATTTAAGAAGAGTGGATGTACAAACCCTAATCGCTCAATTACTGGTGATTGACAAAGATTGACAAAAGTAGTATTTGAAGGGTTTTGATAAGTAATGATTGAGAAAGAGAATGATGATGATGTGAGGTCACAACGATGCTAGAATTAGAAATAGAATATAAATTTAGATAAAAAAACGATATTTTAAAAGTTTTTAGGTGGGGGTCTTAGGTGGCAAAAAGTTGTTTACTCTTTTTAAACATTCCATGAATAATTGTTTTCGTATAATTAATTAATCGGTCATGATTTCAGATAGTGACATGTGAATGGACAAACAATTTTGGAATCTTTGGGTAGGTAGGCCGTAGGAGAAAGAGAAAGTAACTAGGAAATAAAGAACAAAGCAAATAAATAAGTCAGAGAAAACATTAAACTAGTTGATCCAACTGCCCCACGAATTGAAAATTGGTTTTCATATACAATAATAATAAAAAGTCTCACTGCTCTTTTTCCTCAAAATGCTGTATGTGTTATAACAAAGCAAAAAGATAAAATGAAATAAAAATGTAAACTATAGTACAAATTAAACCAATGTGTTCACCCTCTCAACCAGATTGTTCATGGTAATTGAGAATGCATCCTGAAACTTGTCGAGCTTAGAATCTAAATCTCCATATACCAACCCTGGTAATAATTCATATACTATATACCTCCTCATGTTCTCTTTTTCCTTTTCTGAAACCTTCATCAGCCTCTCTATCACATTTACCTTCATTTTCCTCACCTCCTCTTGGTCTACAAACACTGAATATTTAGTATGATCCTCTGGTAAATGCCACGGATATTGATAATATGCGGTAAAAGGATCAAAAAGTACAGGAATGCAACCTGAAATAAGTGAATCAAAGACTGATTTTCTTGTTGGACTATCCCCGGAAGGCTGTAAGCAGAATTCGGATTCCATGAACAGATCTATAACTGGCTTGGGCTTGTCACATGCACCTGAACTACAATTTAAGAACTTACAAGTCTCACTATGTGAAGAAGTGCACTGATTGATTAGTATCGACCTTATATTCTCTGGATGACCGAGCCTTGCTCCCCCGGCAAAACTGACTAGGCTCTTACGTTGTGACCGGATAACCTTGTGTTGCCAGTTGACAATATCATCATCTGAACGAGGGTGGAAGTAAGTAGGATGAGGAATTCCGATGTCATTTGCATGCCATGGCTGCCTTTCGATCAAGAGCTTTATTGGATTTTGCATTTGATCAAGCTCTAACAACCTTGTACCCCATGAAGTATTTACTCTCCTGAAATCCCACGAAATTTTTCCCAAGACAAATACATGATCCTTACCAGAATGTTGAATCCATGACTTTTTGGACTCAAGCCATTTCACCAACTCTAGTGATAGAGAATCTTTAACATCATAAGAGATATTTTTGAAATGCCACCTCAGTATATCTAAGCCACCATAATATGGCACATAAAAAAGTTTGGCTTCATTTTCATTATAAACCCTGCAGGGATGCTTCAAAACTTTTTTATGAAAAATTAGCTCTAGAGCATACTGATGAGTGTTGAACCATCCTTGACCAAGCTCTGGAATGGCTTCACCGAAAGCATCATTATTGAAAAACTTGCAAAAGTTTGACCATGGCATCATATCATCACATTGACCTACTAAATCCTTATTGAATTTAGTAGGCAAATCATACACATAAATTCCCCTCCCTTCACAAGTTGCAACATTCTTGTCTGCCCTCCAGGATCGATGCTCATGTAAAATATCTTCAACAACCTTCTTAGCCAGTTCAGCCTCATCCTCTGCATCATTGTAAACATGGGTTCTGATAGCTGGATCTTTATTGGCTTGCTCTACACTGGAACCATCTTTGGCATTGGAATCGCTACCGGAATTAGCCTTCTTATCTCTTTTAGCCTCTCCATCTCCACCATTATCGACATTGGTTCTGATGACTGGCTCTGTATTGGCTTGAACTACATTGGAATCGTTATTGGAATTGGCCTTCTTATCTCTTTCAGCCTCTCCCTCTCCACCATTGTCAACATTGATTCTGCTAACTGGCTCTGAATTGGCTTGAACTACATTGGCAATATCTTTGCCGTTGGGATTAACCTTCTTGGCTCTTTCAGCCTCTCTCTGTCCGCCATTGTCAACATTGGCCGTAATAACTGGACCTGTCTTGTCTTGAAACACATTGACAAAATCTTTGACATTGGAATCGTCATTGGAGTTCGTAAAATTATTCCTTGGAACCGGGATTTCAAAATTCCCTTCAGTACCCGCAGAGAGGCAATAAAGATTACTGAGCTTCCGGGAGGATACACAAACACGAACAACATTGCCTGAGATGATAGTAGCAGAGGATGACCAAACAAAGATAAGGATCAAAAGGAAAACCGCAAAGGGGATTCGATACAGAATCTTGAACAAATAGGAATAACAGAAACAACATTGTTTTGTTTCATCTTTTCTGGAAAGTTTAGATCTCCTTTTTGACATGAAAATTGCCATGTCTTCGTCGTCGCTATGGCCATTTTCTCCATGGCTTTCGCTCTGGTTTTCTAGTGGGGGAAGGTTGCAACTACCGTTCTGGAAAGTGTGTGAACATGGTTGCACGTTTTATGATCAGTCAAGCTCAAGAATTTGAGAGCACGTTCGACTATACTACATTTGGTAGACATTCATACACTGAGAAATGTATTAGAACAATGCACAATAAATTATGAAGTGATTTTTCCACGAAGTGGGTTGAAAATTAAATACAGAGCTCGAGACGTCAATGACATGCCAATGATTGCCTAAACTCTTGAACATACAGCTGATTAATGTCGACAGTCGTGGCAACATTGTTGGTTGCAGGAAGATCAAAATTCAATAAATATTAAACAGTTCACAAAGTCAGCTTAAAACATTTGTAAATTAAGGTGGTTGGTTTAAGAAAATGTTTAATGTTTCGGAAACTAATGAAAAAGAATGAATTGAAATCATGTATTTTCAAGATTTAAAAACAGGTTGAAAATCAGTTTCGGAAAACTTTATTTAAAATGAAAACAATGAATGTTCATTTGATCTGGAAATCAATAAAATATTTATTCAGAAATGTTAAGCATTGCATTTCCTCCCAAACTCATGGAACACTCTTCGGTTTCTCAACATCCTCCCTAAACACTGCCCTCGCCAAACCATTCAAACCTTCAAATTCCGTATGTTAACATAACAAATCAAGCTGAGAAAATAAAATATAGTGAAAAGGCAGAAGAAAATTGAACAGTTTATGGTGTAATTTGTTGAATAAATCAATAAAACACCCTCGAATAGGAACTCGTCTGGTTCAGCTTGAGATGCTAATCAATATGCAATGATTGTAAATTTGTAATTGAATTATTATGGATCTTGAGATGAAAATCCGGTTGAAATTGGAGGGTGTTTTTGTGTTTAACGGAGGAGAATGGTGAAACAATCTCTCTTTTTTCGTCAAAGAGAAAGAAAGAGAGATTGAGGGACAAAAACATTCGAAACTTTTTCATTTTAAAAGCTAAAGCTAAAAATAATGAAATATTTTTGTAGTTAGATTGGTTATATTCCCATTTTCCTTCAATATAAATTACTGTTGCAGATAAAAATATATCCTCATATCATAAGTCACAGCAGCTTATTAAGTACGTGCTGCAAAGACTCAGAAGAAATGTCAAAGACAACGTTGACACAGCATCCCACAAGTCAATAATAAAAATTATTTTGGTAATTCATCTATCTGAACCTAAACGATCGCAGGACACTGCTAAAGAAACCTGTCACAGAATCTTAGAACCTGTCAAATTCATCCGTAGGCTATGGAAATTTCTTTAACAACTATTATTGTAAATTGTAATTCTTCAAAACTAGTTAGCCAAATGTTTATATTATTCATGGTCTATCCAACCAACAACTTCGATGACCATAACATGTTAGTAAGCATGAAATGCAGCAGGAAACAGCAATAGTTTAAAGAAGTTGGCTGAAGCACTTACAAGTTCTGATACCCCAACCAAAGATATCCAGTGTCCAATTTACAACATACTATCTGTCCTGGAAGGCAGCCGACGGAAGAAGTTAATGGGCACTGATGGCATCCTACGACGAAATCTTGGATGCCTCATCACCCAGAACCCTGCCAATGCTGCTATCACCTGAAATGGTGTCACAAACAATACCAGTGCAGCAACAAGGCAGAATGTGACAAATATGGCAGTGGCACGTGGGTCTCGCCAGCTTAACAATGCCTGACACCTTTCCCCTTGGGTTGCCACATCACCTACCACAGTTTGAATTCTACCAGCCACACTTCTCAGTCGATCGTACCTCATTCTCACCAGGTCAGGGCTTCGGCTGGTGGGAAATGAGTCAAATTCCTCATCAAGTTCATCAGGGTGAACTGCCTCAGCTTGTGAAATCTTTGTGTTCATGTGCGGAGGGTACCTTGGCCGGTACCTGAAGTTCCATATCCCTATTAGAAACATGTAAAGGAAAACTGTGGGTAAAATCAACTCGGGGAAGCAAGCAAGCATAAGATAGAGCACATGGACAAGCACGGTTGTAATAGGATTTCTCCACATACAAATGTCGCCGAACCATCTCCCAACAGAGAATAATCCGGAGAAAACTGTCCTAAGCCTGAAGAAATTTGCCTTGCTGCGGCGCATACTCCAAAGATGTGAGTCCACATCAGACATGTACTCTAACACCTCCTTCCGAAGTGGAGGTTCTGCACGACCTAATCTTGCTGCCACTATGTTTACAGCTTGGTGGCGTAACATGTCTAGTTGCATCAGGGAGAATGGCCTCACATAGTGCATCTTAGGCAAAAGTGGTCGGGAGTACAAATAAAGCATGTTTGCAAAAGATGTGCATGAAAATCGTATTGCCATATGCAATTCCCCCATCTTTTTAACTCCAGAAGGATGAAGAACTAGCAGGGGATAAGAGTGTGTATATATGCGACCAGTTTCTAGAGTGGAGATGCGAATTCGAACCTTGCCAATCTTCAGGTCCTTATTACCATTTGAACCCTTCTCTCCAAGCTGGCTGTTGTCAAATACACCCACAGTGACAACTGTAGCTGGATCAAAAACCTCCCATGTGTACTGCTCGTTATATTTTGGAGACAAGTTGTCAACAATGGTTCGTGTCCTGACCCATTTTTGACCATATTTTGCCACACAATATGTATCTGAAGTTCCCCTCCCATCTCGTGTTTTCATGGGGTGAAGTCCCACAGCATTTAGAATGCCAAGCTCTAAAATCCCAACTGATGGTCTCCAGAGCTGTTTTGCAGTTGGACGGAGATCGCTGCTATAGTGAGTCGANTTGTAATTGAATTATTATGGATCTTCAGATGAAAATCCGGTTGAAATTGGAGGGTGTTTTTGTGTTTAACGGAGGAGAATGGTGAAACAATCTCTCTTTTTTCGTCAAAGAGAAAGAAAGAGAGATTGAGGGACAAAAACATTCGAAACTTTTTCATTTTAAAAGCTAAAGCTAAAAATAATGAAATATTTTTGTAGTTAGATTGGTTATATTCCCATTTTCCTTCAATATAAATTACTGTTGCAGATAAAAATATATCCTCATATCATAAGTCACAGCAGCTTATTAAGTACGTGCTGCAAAGACTCAGAAGAAATGTCAAAGACAACGTTGACACAGCATCCCACAAGTCAATAATAAAAATTATTTTGGTAATTCATCTATCTGAACCTAAACGATCGCAGGACACTGCTAAAGAAACCTGTCACAGAATCTTAGAACCTGTCAAATTCATCCGTAGGCTATGGAAATTTCTTTAACAACTATTATTGTAAATTGTAATTCTTCAAAACTAGTTAGCCAAATGTTTATATTATTCATGGTCTATCCAACCAACAACTTCGATGACCATAACATGTTAGTAAGCATGAAATGCAGCAGGAAACAGCAATAGTTTAAAGAAGTTGGCTGAAGCACTTACAAGTTCTGATACCCCAACCAAAGATATCCAGTGTCCAATTTACAACATACTATCTGTCCTGGAAGGCAGCCGACGGAAGAAGTTAATGGGCACTGATGGCATCCTACGACGAAATCTTGGATGCCTCATCACCCAGAACCCTGCCAATGCTGCTATCACCTGAAATGGTGTCACAAACAATACCAGTGCAGCAACAAGGCAGAATGTGACAAATATGGCAGTGGCACGTGGGTCTCGCCAGCTTAACAATGCCTGACACCTTTCCCCTTGGGTTGCCACATCACCTACCACAGTTTGAATTCTACCAGCCACACTTCTCAGTCGATCGTACCTCATTCTCACCAGGTCAGGGCTTCGGCTGGTGGGAAATGAGTCAAATTCCTCATCAAGTTCATCAGGGTGAACTGCCTCAGCTTGTGAAATCTTTGTGTTCATGTGCGGAGGGTACCTTGGCCGGTACCTGAAGTTCCATATCCCTATTAGAAACATGTAAAGGAAAACTGTGGGTAAAATCAACTCGGGGAAGCAAGCAAGCATAAGATAGAGCACATGGACAAGCACGGTTGTAATAGGATTTCTCCACATACAAATGTCGCCGAACCATCTCCCAACAGAGAATAATCCGGAGAAAACTGTCCTAAGCCTGAAGAAATTTGCCTTGCTGCGGCGCATACTCCAAAGATGTGAGTCCACATCAGACATGTACTCTAACACCTCCTTCCGAAGTGGAGGTTCTGCACGACCTAATCTTGCTGCCACTATGTTTACAGCTTGGTGGCGTAACATGTCTAGTTGCATCAGGGAGAATGGCCTCACATAGTGCATCTTAGGCAAAAGTGGTCGGGAGTACAAATAAAGCATGTTTGCAAAAGATGTGCATGAAAATCGTATTGCCATATGCAATTCCCCCATCTTTTTAACTCCAGAAGGATGAAGAACTAGCAGGGGATAAGAGTGTGTATATATGCGACCAGTTTCTAGAGTGGAGATGCGAATTCGAACCTTGCCAATCTTCAGGTCCTTATTACCATTTGAACCCTTCTCTCCAAGCTGGCTGTTGTCAAATACACCCACAGTGACAACTGTAGCTGGATCAAAAACCTCCCATGTGTACTGCTCGTTATATTTTGGAGACAAGTTGTCAACAATGGTTCGTGTCCTGACCCATTTTTGACCATATTTTGCCACACAATATGTATCTGAAGTTCCCCTCCCATCTCGTGTTTTCATGGGGTGAAGGCCCACAGCATTTAGAATGCCAAGCTCTAAAATCCCAATTGATGGTCTCCACAGCTGTTTTGCAGTTGGACGGAGATCGCTGCTATAGTGAGTCGATTCATCAAGAACATGGTAACCTCCATCCAGACAGACTCTGAGATGGATCCGGCTTGAGAACTTATCTTTCTTCAACTGATCTACATCAACAGCAATTGGCTTTTCCAAGTTGAACCAGCGGGAGTGGATTATTCGATCATCAGCACTCTTCTCTACCGCACTCAATGGTATGATGACCCTTCCAATAATTTCATCCTTGCCAGGACCCACACGATCCTCAACTGAAAGAACTAGATGATCTTCGAAAGGTTCAGCAGCAACAAATACTAGATCCTCATTCCAAATGGCATTCAGTGTCCGTGCCTGGCAAGTCTTTGTTTTCAAGACCTGGTTTCCTATGTGGGCCTTAACATAAACATCTGGAAAACGATTCTTCTCTGTTGGGACCAAGTCTTGTGCCTCAACAACTGTAACACGCACATACCACAACCTCGGTGCATGGTAGACTTTGGAACGTAACACTGCAGAGATAGCTGGTGTGCTATCAACAGGTGTAGCTGCATCAGAATGCCATGCATCAGGAAAGGCCTCATCTGCCTGGGTGCCAATCCAAACTGCGAGCATCAGCTCACCCTTTATCTTCTCTCCCTTCTTATCCTCAAGTCGGTACCACTCTGGAGCTAGAGGACTATCTGGTGGGACTCGCAATGGAACCTCACTGATGTCAAACCTCACACTGCCTACAAAATCATCTTTTACTAGATCCTTGTCTTTGATTACAACTTCTAGTACAGAAGCTTGCATTCGGTCCCTAGAAAAGGCAAACACCTGGTGCCACTCAGGATTTTGCTTCTTCTCAAAATGTTTTGTGATCCCTTTGTAGTTTCCAATTCTCACCTCGACAAATGGATCAAGGCTACCAGTAACATCCATGGCAGGAAGTTCACGAGCCTTAACAACTCTTACATAGAGAAAATACATCCGTTCAACAAGATCATAAGTGCTTGCAGTCTTGTCTCCATGTATAACACGACCCCCAACTACTCTTCCACCTCCAAGGTAAGGGCTTGTCTCTTTAAGTGCGAAGTCAACTGGTTGTGATGATGCAGCTGAGTACATGCGAACTAGCTTTGCAGGCTGTGGTTCAGATTTCATCTCATCAATCTCATACTTGGGTAAATGATGGGTAACTACTGGAGGAGAAGGATCATGTTGATGTTCATGGTGAGTCGGGTTAGGAAGGTGGTGAAATGTGTGTCTTGACTTAACTTTGTCAGGGTTGACTGGATTTGGAACTGCTCTGGCATGCGTATGAGTTACATTGGGCTCCTCAGTTGTGGTGTATTCAGCCGCTGGAAGTGGAGTAGAAGACCTTATGGAAGGGTCATCAGTGATATAGACTTTTAGGCCAAGCTCTCCTCGTACACGCGAGAAAATACCACGCTTTTCTAGAGGATAGTGCAAGACAACAGCATCAGAGTAGGGAACGAAAGAATTGCCAGTTAGGCTAATCTTTCCAAGGAATGATCGGGAGTTGGCAGCTTTAATATCATTGTAGACATAAACATCAAGGGTTAGATAATGGAGGTTGGAAGCATCAGAGATATTGAAGTAGAAGCTCTCATTCCAAACAGGGTTGAGATCCTTTTCTTTGATTGTAGTTCGGAACCTCTGACCATCAAAGTATAGCTCCACAAAGGCACTGGATGAACCTTGTCCATCTTTCGGCAAAAGATTATGAGCACTAACAACCTCAACTCCCAGCTTAAGATTTATCATGATCAATTATTTTCAGGCGAGACTTTTGTAAGAGTTCTGAAACCCTGGAGAGGTTGAAGACAACTACAAGAATCTGAAAAGCAGGAAAAGAACAATTACAGTTACATACTATTAACTCCAACCAGTGAAAGAGAAATGGATACGATTTTATTTTCGCTAAAAAGAACTAATAGAAGCAAATAACTGGATAAAAGAGAAAACGAACTGAACAGTGCATTGAATATATCCTAATGGAATAAGACATGCAGAAGGAAATTAAAACAAAGAAAGCAAATGAATAAACTGTACAAATGCAGCACACAAGAAATCACGAGTAAGACACTGACAAGAATAAAACATAATTTCACTAGCCCTTTCCCCCTTCCTTCAGTTCAAGTATGAACAAAGCAGATGCATACATAAAGTAAGGAACACAGAAAACAAATCCAGTCCCTAAAAGTTTACAATTATAATGAATTTTAAGCACTCCATAAAAACACGTCTCCAAAAATTCCCAAGGACAAATCACAAGAACCAACAACTGCAACCAAGGTTATTTAAACAGGACATATAAGTCGCAACAAGCAGGAGCCATGAGCAAGGAGATAATATATATCAATCCGCAGAAACAAATCTCTTCACAAATTATTTTAAGAGGACATATGATGAATATGTTGAGCAATTTAAAACATGGTTCTTTGAATACTAATTCAGTGAACAAATAAAGACAACATACCCACCTAAAATATAATAAGAGTATACCAGAACCAGGAAGATCTTTATAATTTCTTCATCTTTTCATTAGTATTAACTGAAAAGTGAGAAAGGAAAACTAAAAGCAAAATACTAACTTAAAACTGCAAAAAAGTAGAGTCTAAATAGAATGATTTTAAAATAATGAAGTGATAAAAGCAAACAGGTCAACACTTTTTAATCAAAAGCATGTGCAAAACTCCCTCGTAAAAAGATCTAAACACATAAATTATAATAAGCATATGATACTCCCTGCTTCAAGTTAAAGATCCTTAAAGCACGCTCAAGACACGTGACGTGAGCTTCTTACACAGACCATTCCACAGAACAAACACTGAAGATCTAAATGTTGTCTTCTTCTAATAGAAAAATGCAAGGGACTAAGATTTTTCGAAAATATAAAAATAATTAAATAAAAAAGAAAAAAAGCCATGAAAGTGATATCTTCTTACACACCGTTTGGTTGCCGAGAAACGGGTAGGAAAATCCCAATATTTATTCTCGATAATTCGTAGATTTTCCCCGCAACCAAACAGAGGCGTAATCATAGTCTATAGAACTGAAATGTTCCTTAGTATAGAACTCAGAGAAGAAAAATTACTGAATCTGAGGGAGATTAACAAATTTGAAAAGCAAAAAACTTGCTCAGTTCAGATCATATCGAAATTAACTTAATCTCGCCAACTTTGAGAATTACAGAAAATACATCAAATCATGAGCCTGTAAAATCATCTAAAACGCTTACTCTTAGTTTTCACACGTAACGCCAAATTTCATTTCAAAAATGTAAAAATTTATACTTTGAGAACTTTAAACTAACGTTCAGTTCAAAAACGTGAACCAAAGTGAAGTTAGTGCAGCTAAAACCCAAAGAAAAAAAAATCTGAACAGAAACAAAAGTTCACCTCTTTCGAGCAAAAATCTTCAGATTCCAGTCATTTTTTGGAGAGGAAGAAGAAGCTCTTAACTTTTAGCAGTTAGCGCTTTGTTCACAAGCAGAAGGAGCATTTAAGACAGAGAGAGATGGCGTTATGGCAAGCCAAGAGTCGGCACGAACAACGAGGACAGAAAAAATTAAAACAATAACAAATTAAGAAGCAATGCAGGTAAAGTAATGGTATGGAGATATTAAAGAGAAAACTGAAAACAAAATTAGTTTGTTTTTTTCTTTTCTCGACTTATAAAATCAACGCCATTGCCATTCCCATTGCCATTACTAGTTGATACTTCTGTGTTTCTTGTCCTGATACACAATTACAACGTCCTTTTCAATTGTGATTCTCACTCTCTCTCTCTCTCTCGGCTTTCGCTTCCTCCTTATGAAGAGTTATTATAGGATGCGGCCGACTCCTTTTCAGTTAGTTGCATCAGCTCTGTTATTGTCCCTTTCTTTCATCTGATACATTAATGGTATTCTCAGACTGCTGTAATAATACCATCTATAAATGCATTGAAAAGAACTTTAATAATTGTATGCCTTTTAATTCACAGATTACAAAGACAAAAATGGTGCTTTATAATCAAACCCCATTTTGGTTAACTTAGGAATTCTTTCAGTTCATCAAATTATTGTTCAGCTCACATGATGATTGATGGGAAAGATTGGTGAAGGTGATGACCTCTTGATATGATGAACCAACACTGTAGTCTGACAAATCATCATCATCACTCTTTTTTTTTTTTTTTTCTTTTTCTCTTTTTGCATGAAATGATGGTAGATAAGAAAGAAAGTGGTCACCATTTTTGTCATTTGACTGGGTTCGTACAATAAGATAATGCAGATGCAGATGCAGATTGCAGAGAGCATTGAGTATGGATTAATTAAGGCTTCATATACGTGGGCCCATTTGTGGAAGTTAGGCAGCTTAGTTTCCCAGGCAGCCTGTGGGCTGCGGTTTCTGGAAAGGAAGAGCATTGCAGGGCTAACTAAAGACAGATGGTGCAAGACAAAAACATAAAACGCCGTCGCTTTGTAGCCCTGTTGGTTAATTTCTCAACTATATTGTTACTTAGTCACAACCAGAAAAAATTGTCACGTGTAAAAATCACTTGTCGCATTTCTAGCGAATAAAGTATATATTCCTTTAAGATCCGAATCTCTATAATGTAAACAAAATAAGGAAAAACCGTCTTGACCCAAACCCACAAATTCAAGTTATCCGCCTTAGCTAAGGCAAACCCGCCTTGTCCAACCGCATAATGCCTTTCAACCTCCTAGGTAATGATATAAAATCCAGAACTGTATTAGTATTACCCTCCTCTCCTTGTCTAGCGAGGAAGTCTGCTGCGCTATTCCCTTCGCGGAATTGATGAGTAATGGTGAACTGAACGTCTCTTAACATAATCAAAAGCTCATCCTAATAGTCTCATAAGTTACTCTTAGAAATTACACGTAAATAATTATGATTAAATACAAAGATTGAATAATAAATGAGACATGATTTTTAAAGTGGTTCAAATGCTTAAAGCGAATCATATGTCCACTGTTTCTTTTATATATGAGAGATTGCAAAAAGTTTAGTATAACGAATAGTGAGCAGGGGTACAACAATTGAATATTCAGAGAGAATATCAGGTCAGTCTTTTTCTCGTAAGTTATCTTTGCTCTGAAAATAAAGATTACAAGATTACAATTAAAGAACGGGGTCAATATCAGAATCCCGAAAATGAGAGGGGGAGTCTTCTATTTATAATAGAATAATTCAATGTAATGATCACAAATATATAAGTGGATAAGTGTCATGCAAGTCTTTCTTTGCCTCTCATTAGCTGATAACTTATGAAATATCCTCAAATTACCTGGGACTTGGACATGTGTGCAACCCTCAATCACTCATAGACAAAACTTAAATCTGTCAAATTAATGACAGCCATATTCCTTCTGTCATGGAGTGACATGGCAGCTCCTAAGTAGCGCAAAACCTTCCTAAACTCTAATTGGTGTTTGTTGAAGTAGGGTAACGTCAAATTTGATTTTTTAGGTATAACAAATTTATTCAACAATTATTAGATATTATTAATATGATTATAAGGTGTGAGGACCTCGCATTTACATCACTCCATATATTAATACCATACTCTTTTATTCGACAAAATAGTAAATTTGTTTGATATTAAAATTCTATAATAAGGGTGTGTTTGGATCAAGGATAATCTTCATTTATTTTGCAAGACTTCAATGTTTAGTTTGCAAGTAATAAAATATTATGGGCATATTTTATTACAAATAGTGTTTACTGTTGGTAATGTATGAGGTAATCTGATACCCTCCCCCATGGGTGTTATTAGAAGATTACCAGGTAATCTAATTTTTACAATTATTTTACCCTTAATTAAATATCATTTCGAACACAATTGCTTTCAAATGTCTACAAATAACAATTACCCAACCCCCCTACATTTGAGAAATTAGCTAAAATACCCTAGCCACAAAAAGTTTAAAAGTTAACAAAATATCCCAACAACCCAAGACCATTGTCGGCCGTTACTCACCACTGTTGGCTGCCCGCGTCAGTCGCTGTAATGGCGCACAACCAGTAAGATCTGGTTGGTCGTGCGCCGGTAAGGCATTTTCCGGCCATGGATCTGTGATCCATGACCGAAACGACTAGATCTGGGCGTGAAATGGCTTTGTGATCCGTGACCGGAAATGGCTTTGTCAGCACACGGTCGGCCATATATGACTAGTTGTGCGCTATTTTGTTGACTGCCAACAGTGGCTTAGGGTGAGTGGGGGTGATTTTGCTACAAATTTAATTTTTATATGCCTAAGGTGTTTTTAGCAAAATTTCAAATGTAAGGGGTTAAAAGAAACTATTCAAAAAATAATATTATATTAATATTTAAAAATGAGGGTAATTAGTAATTGATATAACATACCCACCCATTTATCCTCCCAACCAAACATATTAGTCACCAATTTATTTGAACCAACCAAACACATTTCTTAAACATTCTCAGTGTTCTTCAAGGTGATATATCTTTCTATTAATATAATATCCTCCTATAATCAAACATTATATGATCCAAACGCCCCCTAAGGAATAGTTCTTATTACCGTAAAAATTTATAACTTAATCATAGAAAGGCATATACTCGTATTGTTATTTATTAGAGGGATTTTTTAAGTAAGCTTATGTGTGCTTGGCTCTTTTGTAGTGGGTATTTATAGGTTTCAGAAGTGTAACCCTAACCCTCGTAGGTTTCAGAAATATAATTCTACCCTCCATGTGTTTGGCTTTTTTTTTGTTTTTTTTGTAATGAGCATCCATTGGTTTCATAAATTTTATTATTTCAACTTTCAAATTTATCAATAATTTTA